GTGTGTGTGTGTGTGAGAGAGAGAGAGAGAGAGAGAGAGAGAGAGAGAGAGAGAGAGAGAGGAGAGATTTACACATTATTAGCAAAGAGTATTAGTAATAAGATCTTACATACTCTAAAAAGGAGTCCATTCATAATGTTTTTTAAAGCACACTTATTAGCTGGTTTTTCTTACAGAAATTCAGGGGCAGCGATGATAGATCCATTTTGTAGGTGGAAAATTTAAGACAGAAACATTACATACATAACCTTTCACTCTTCTTTCAAAATCTACCCTGTGCCCATCTGTCACTTACAGCCTTGACTAGACTACCACCAGCTAATCTAAAGCTGCATCCTCTCCTGCTTCTTCATATACTCCATCCTCCACACCACAACCAGTTCAACCTCACAAAACTATGAATTCACACCTCTGCTTAGAACACTCCCAGCTTCTTGCTGCCCTATTTGGAGTGAGACCTGCATTGTTTGATTTGGCCTCCGAGACTGAGTGACCTGGTCCCAGCCACCTTTGCCCTTCCCCCCTGCATCCAGCTCTCCTGTCCCTCTCCTCTCCAGCCACTCTGGCCTTCCCAACTGTGCCTTCTGTACACTGCACTCGATTCCCACACACCCGTACAGTAGGTCCCTCTGCCAAAAACATTTCTTTTTCAGGGGTCCCATCTCTAGGATTTTTTTTCTTTTCAGAGAAATCTCTCCTCAAAACTCCCAAGAGCTGAATATGGCTAAGATCCCTCACACTTCTTGCGGAGGACAACATTTCAGTTCCCAGCACCCATACAGCAGCTCACAGACATCACTAAATATGGTTCCGGGGCATCTGATGCCATCTTCCTGCATGCAGGCAAATATTTATACACAAAAATAAAAAAAAATAAATCTAAAAAAGGAGGAGCTGAATCCAAGAAAGTCAGGCCCCTGCTATCTGCCCAACACATGTCTACACATTTAAGCCTGTATGGACAGCATTGTACTACAGCTCTTGGCTTGTCTTCTAAACATTTATTACTGTCTAAACTCACTCCGATCATTCCTTAATTTTTGCTCATCTCTTGACTCCAAAATTCTTTGACACTAGAAAGTGTATCTAACTTACTGTTCCACATGCACACCCTGGTCCATAGTAGCATCCATCCATCCATCCATCCATCCATCCATCCATCCATCCATCCATCCATCTATCTCTACTACCTTACCTGTTGTCTGTTCCAGAGTTCTGGACTGAATCAGGCTTTGCACATGCTAGGCAAGTTCTCTATACCCCCTGCCCATGGTTATTTTTGTTGAGACATGATGTTTTGTAGAGCCCAAGCTGGGCCTTGAATGTGTGAGATTGCCCTGCTTCAGCCTCCCCAGCACTGTAAATACAGAGCAGCACCCGACAACTGATGTGTTGACATAGCTGAATGAAGGAATGAACCCAGCTTTTGCTAAGAGTCAGCTACCAATTAATTCAGTGTGTGTTCTTGCAGTGACTTTCCTTCTCCGCTGCTAAGTTTACTGAAAAACAAAAGCCACACAGTCTGGGGGAGCCTGTTCTGTTTACTGTGTTACAAGTTGCTTACATAAAATTTTTCACAGCAGGGGCTGGAGAGACGGCTCAGTGCTTAAGAGCATTGGATGCTCTTCCAGAGGACCTGAGTTCAATTTCCAGGACCCACATGGCAGCTCACAACTGTCTGTAACTCCAGTTCCAGGGGAACTTCACACCAATGCACATAAAATAAAGTTAAATAAATTATGAAAAAAAAAATGTTTTTTCGCAGCAGCAGTGATGGCATGCCAGAGGTGGCTGGTATTTCATAGAGAAAGGCAATGGGAACATTCTATCCATGCCAGCAGACGGCAGAGCTTCCTTAGAATCCCGGAACAACATGACTTAGAACTAATCGTTCCCTCGTTCAATTTCTTTCTATTTAATACTTTATCATTCAGGCTTAACTTGATGGAAGTGTTTCTGTGTTTCTCAGAGTCAGTGGGTCAGTCAGGCTCATAATTGTGAATCATGAATCATGAAAAATGGCAGGCCTAACATACAGAGCACTCGGTGGGGGAGGGGGGCTCCTGAGAGATGGCTCCATGATTAAGAGCACTGGCTGCTCTAATAGAGGACCTAGGTTCAACTCCCAGTACCCACATGGCAGCTCGAAATCTCTGTGATTTCAGTTCCAGGGGATCTGGTGCCCCTCTCCTGCCCCCCTTAGGCATCAGGTACACACATGGTGCACAGACGTACAGGCAACACCCAATATACATAAAATAAAATATTGTTAAAAATAGGATTGGGGATGTAGCTTAGTTGGTAGAATGCTTGCCCAGCATACCCTGGAGTTGATCCCCAGTGCCTAATAGACCAGGCGAGGGTGCCTCAGGCCAGTGATCGCACATGTCAGGAGACTGAGACACCAAAGACACCATCAAAGTTCAAGGTTCTCAGCTATACAGCAAGTTGGAACCCAGTCTGGGCCACATGTACCCTTTAGGATGAAAAGATAACAAGAGGGTCCCCCTTAAAGAAGTTCTTCCCAGGGACGCCCATCCCAAGTACCCCATTGTCTCTTCTCTTACTGCTCTATGCTGAGGCAGAATCAAAAGTGGATGTTAAATTGTATTTGTTTACAAACCAAACTATTGGGGGGGGTTAGTTAGGTCTGTAGGAGTTCCTTATGGCCTGTGAGCAGACACAGTGGAGAAGAGTTCAAAGCCAGCTACCTGGTTATGAGGGAAACCTGGACCCGCCCTTCACACATCACAGGGGATTGATTTCTCAATTTAATGAGTGGCTGAGACTCAATGACATGCCTCCTCTCAAGCACTCAGTGGCTCAGGATGTTAAGCCTTCTGCCTCAGTGTCACTGAGGTCAGTGACAGTCTGGAATGACAGACCATGGTAGCAGTTCAAGGATGGTTTCAGCAGCACGTGGGGAGGGAAGGCTCTGTACACTGATGTCCGAGGAAGGAAAATCACTCTCAATGCCTGACAGCAAGGAGCAGAAGCCGGCATTACCGAGGATGCTAAATCAACAAGCCTTCTCTATCACAAGAGTACCCGAGTCCCCTCGGTGAGAAAAACCCGCCTGGGTGCTGACATCTCTCAGGCACCCGGTTGCCAGGTCTAACTCTTTGTTTTGACTCTGGTGCCCTGACCCAGGAGTTCAATGTGACTCCAAGATTTGCTTGCCAGCCTCTGGGGTTGTCCCTGCTTCAGGGGATACATTTCCCCGCTCCTGCTCATACACCAGTCTCCCCCAGCTCTGCATTCTCATTTGGGTCAAAGATAATTTGTGCAAGTCTGATTTGGTAACATGTGCCACCCAAACCAGAATCTGTGTGTCCTTTAGAGGTGACAGCTCCCGTGTGTGTAAGAGCCTGGCACACCTCTCCTGCCTTCCTTACCCGGACCTAGCAGTGATTCCCATGGGTCCGAATGAAAACCCCAAGAAGACAGTGGTCTCTATTGTCTGGTTTTACTTGGCTTTGTAAAAATCCAGCCTAAAGGGTGGAATAACCAGCATTTTATCTGGCCAGCAGCAGGATGCTCCAACAATGAGAGATACGACTTTATTATTCTATTTTCAGACTTTAGCTTTAGCTGGGCTATTCCTCACAAGGAAGTGTGTGTGTGTGTGTGTGTGTGTGTGTGTGTGTGTGTGTGTGTGTCCGTCCCAGAATGAGATCTACAGACAAAACACTCCCCTGCATGCTCCGGGTTCACCTGCCGCCCAGTTGGCACTGAATTCTTAGGGTGACTTTCTCAGAAGGAATCCAACAGCTTCCCTCAGCAATTCTGGAGCTCTGTTTCTGGGGGCCTCCGAGGTCAGTCCAAGACCAAACAGGAGGACTCTGTGGTTCCAGCCTGCCCTCCCTACCCGCCCGCGGTCCGGTGTCCCCCACCACAGCCTGGTGATAGCCCATAGCTCAAGACCTGGGCGATCCTGGGGCTCCTTACCTAGGCGCTGCGCTGTTACTCCGGGGTACCCGGGATCCTGGGTGCACCAATGCCACCGGCGCCAGCCAGATCCAAGAGCCTCTCGCAGCCAACAATGAAGGTTTCCGGACAGTCGTTTTCACCCGGGGCTGGGGTATCTCGGAGGTGGGCTGAGCAGGCGCTTAAGATCTATCCTCAGGCTCGACCCTCCCCTCGCTTCCCCTCCCCTCCTCTCCCCTCCCCTCCCCAGGTTGCTGAGGAGGAGGGACGGGGAGGAGCGTGTGGCCCGGCCTCCTGCCAGTTCTGAGCAGCTGCCACTCAAGCTCACACAGCGCTCGCCCCAGGGCGGGCCACTACCTGGACCTCCCCAATTGCCCACGCGTGGATCCTGCCTACCTACCTGAAGCTGTGGTGGGCTCCTAGGTTCCCAGTCAGACGCCCGAATCTCACCAGGTCTGTTACGCGGTGAGCTGTGTGCCACCCCCAAGCGTATCTTGCTAGTTTCATCCTGTTCTGCACATCCACCAAATTCACCGAATCACTGAGCACCGGTTTAGAAACCTGAAATCTTCTGCACAGTCTGCATTTTGACACTTTGTACCCGGAACCCCAGGTCGCTCCTTGTGTAGACTCTGCTCCAGACAGGAAAGGCCTGCCGCTGCGTAGCCTCCTTGCTTTGCTGATTTTGAGGGTCATCGTGTTTTAGGGTTCCGTCTCATAGCTCAGTCTATCTCAGTTATTAGAGTTTGTTGTAAAGGCTTTCCCCTCCAAGAGTGAGGCGGCAGAGGGGAGTGGGGTCGGGAGAGGGAAAAGGCTGCGGAGCCTCTCGGGGTAAACAAAGTCACAGGTCTTGGGGGGGGGGGGGGGGACAAAACCTGGGAAGATCCCTGAGGGCCTCTCCAGGGCAGTATTAAAAAACAACAACAACAACAACAACAAACAGTGGGAGGGAGGGTGACGTTGGAGACTTTTAACCGCTGAAAAGTAGAGAGATTTGGCCGCAGGCGGAGGTGCATGCAGGTGTGCAGAGAGCCATAGGGTTGCAACTTAAATGGCTCTGTCTGGTCCCCTGCCTCCCCGCCTCCGTTTCCCCCCCCCCCCGCTGTGTGGCCTTTTCAATGATGCAATTGCTCATTCCTGCTCCTTATAAGTAACCTTTCACCCATATTCCTGATAGGAGCCCCAGTAAAAACTCATTGGTTCACTAAGTTAGACACTGGGGAAATTGTTGTATGAATCTGTCTGGATTCCTTTTCTGGGGTGTAAAGACACGTGTTGCATCTCCCCACAAAGTCAGCCACACAACCCTGTTTTCCCTGAAATGCCATCCCTTATTTTCTAAAGTTTTCTCCTCAAACCCATTTCCCAATAATTTTCAGACATCTTCATCTAAAACCATTTAGAAACTTGAGAGAAAAGAGGTTGGCATTTGTATGTAGTATTACAATATTATATTTTGACATTTTTGGATGGGTTGAATTTCATGTAGTCCTTATGAAGTTCTAATAATGTTCTGCAGTAGTGAGGGTGGAGAGACAGTATGGAGTAGCCGTGAAGATACACGTGACTGAGAACTGCTTCTAAGATATTTATGGCCAGGTGGTGATGGTGCACACCTTTAAACCCAGCACTCGGGAGGCAGAGCCAGGTGGATCTCTGTGAGTTCGAGGCCAGCCTGGTCTACAAAGCAAGTTCCAGGAAAGGCACAAAGCTACACAGAGAAGCCTTGTCTCAAAAAAAGGGGTATTTATGGAGGCCTGCAGACACCAGTTCAGTGGGAGGGCACTTGCCTAATGTGCATGAGGTCCTAGGTTCATCCTCAGTACCACAAAATAACATTCCTGGAGTTGAAACAACCCAAACCCAAAGAAACAAACAAGGATAAGATAGGGCTGTAGCTTGAATAGGAGAAAACAAGGAGGGTGAGAACCTGGCGTGGTGTGAGAATCTTCCTGGGCATGTGGGAAGCTTTGTAAGTCCACATGATCCATGGTAGTTAAACTGGCTTCATAGCAGCGAGTCCCGCCCAGTGACGATGCACCTTCCCTGGTAACATCACCTCCAGTGGTGGAGTCCAGCCCTGTGGTGAAGTACCTTTCCTGGTGACATTTCCATTGCAGAAATGAGAACAGAGAGGAAGTGTAAGGACCCTCAAGACCAAGTTCTCAGCACAAAAGAGATTTATTTGCCCCAGAGGGACAGAGGTCAGGGAATAAGAGACAAAGACAGGAGATAGAGGAGGAGGGAGAAGGGGAAGGGAACAGGGGAGAGGGAGCAGGGGTATTGGTCCTGGAGTGGGACAAAGGACGGCCTCTGGATGGAGAGGAGACAGACATGGCCCACAGGCAAATGGTGATTTATGTAGGGAAAGAGGGAAACCGGTGTTCAGATGAGGTGTTAGTGTTAATTGGGCATGTTAATTAGGTCAGCCAAAGGGAGCTTTTGATTGCTGGACTCCAAGACTTTGATAGGTGGACCTTGGTAGTCGCAGAGAGAATCAAGGAGAAAGGCAAGGCCTGCCAGAGCCATGTTTGCCAGGCCGGGACAGGCCACAGTCCCTTCAGGAAAGTCACCTGTGCTTAGAAACTGGGGGGTAGATTAAGAAAACTCAGAGCTGACAGCAACTTTAAGAGTTATATTTTATATTTAAGAGGGGTGGCTCAGTGGTTAAGAGCACCGGCTGATCTTCCAGAGGTCCTGAGTTCAATTCCCAGCACCCACATGATGGCTCATAATAGATATGATGCCCTCTTCTGGCGTGCAGAACACTCATACATAAAATATAAATAAATTTAAAAAAACTTAAAAAGAGAAATTTTCATAGTTAATAAGTAATACCACCCATAGATTAATGCCTGTCTCAACCCTTAGCAGAGAAGCTTCTGTTTGCCACATATGGTGATGACCACAGAGACCCATAGCTGCTCAAGCAGCAGAGAATGCTTAGTTGGAACATCTACACTGTGCCCTCTCCTCCCAGGACTCAGGCATCATTGTGGAATGGGGGTGGGGGAGCAGAAAGACTCTAAGAACCAGAGGTGGAAGATGAACACGAGGAAACAGTGTCCATTGGACACAGCAGGACAGCTCCACATAGGAAATCACAGCAGTTGACAGAAGGCACAAGCTCCCAGAAAGCTCACGCCTCATCAGATCTCAGCATGGAGAGGGAAGGTAGACAGGAAGTCCCACCCCTAGCTGCGGAGCTATAGGCAATTGCTAGCCTCTGAGAGAGGGAGAGTCGGCCTTCTTTACCAGTGTTGCTCACTGGTAGGTGGATCGCTGTTCCAATGGAAGGCCACACACTTCTAATGATATGGGCAGCACAAATGGACTTGATGTGTGAGAGAAAAAAGATACAAAGTTGAGTGGGTAGGGAAAGGGCAGCGGATCTGGGAGGAGTTACAAAATAGCTAAGAATAAATCTAAAAAAAAGATGTAACATACTAAACTAATTTCTCTAAAATCTAATCCAAATAGAAAAATCAAAGTAGAAAGTGGATATTCTTCCATAAGCCTGATGTGGGGTATTCACCAGAGAAGACTGCTTGGACATGGATTTAAGCCAATAGAAAGTCTTTGTTAGCTGGCCAGCAACTACACTGGGTATTTGAATTCCCAGTGCAGCATTGAGCTTTTCTCAGGGTGAGCTTTTAAACACAAAAACCATGTTCTGGGTTGACATACTTCAGTTAACAAGGACACTTAGCCAGAAGTAGAACTCCAGAATCCAAAAAGCAAGGCTAGTGCATTTAAAGACTTTCCCAGGACTCTGGACTTTGATGGATAAGGCCTTTGTTTTTGTTTTGGCATGTGGTGCAGCCTACATGCTAATTTTATGGCCTGAATGGTATTTCCATCATGGAGTCAGTTATGCTAAGGTTTGGGAGCCTACTAAGGTCTAGGACCCTATTACAAGTCCAATTCCATCAGACAATTATTTACCAATTTGGTACAATATTACAGATACTGTTTCAGATATAAATGCAGTTATTAAAAGCAGAGAGCAGCTGGGGGGGTGGTAAACATCTTTAATCCCAGAACTTGGGAGGCAGAAGCAGGCAGATCTCTGTGAATCCAATGCCAGCCTGGTCTACAAAGCAAGATCCAGGAAAGCCATGGTTACACAGAGAAACCCTGTCTCAAAAATAGATAGATAGATGACAGATGATAGATAGATAGATAGATAGATAGATAGATAGATAGATAGATAGATAGATTGATAGCAGCATAGATCAAGTAAATCTGGGCTTGAGTCCAGCTCACTGAGTCTCCCTCCAAGGCCTTGGGGAAGTATGACAGGCTTTGAATGCCCCAATTTCCTAATCTACAATTTGAAAATAAAAGTAGCTCTTGAATGATTGTATTGAGAATTAAAAGGGATAATTTCGCCAAGGGTGAAAATGTACAGCTGTAATTCAAACAGTTGAGATGCGGATATTGGAGGATCAAGAGTTCAAGGCTGACTTTGGCTACAAAGGAAGGCCAGTCTGAGCCCCGTGAATGAGACTTTAATCTCAGTAAAGGAACAAATAAATAAACAGATTGAATAGAACTATGTGTGTAAATGCTTAGGATAATATTTGGCAAGCAAAGTGAGCTCTTGATAAATTTTAGCAATTTATACATATGTAAGGTGTGCATATTCATAAAATATATAGGAGAATATAATTATAAGTGAATATGAATTTCTGGGAAGAACTGAAGGATACAGATGTTGTTGATGGATGAGGAGAACATTCACAGAGGCAGAGAGACAGGAGTAGCTAAATCCAGATTGTCGAGTCAGAGAATGGAGCCTGGGCTCTGTAAATTGAAAGGTGAAGCAATTCCAGGGGACAAGAAGTCCAGAACAGTAATTCTGCATTTCTAAAATAGAGACAATGAAGAATCTCCTATTCAAATTTTTAGCCAGGTCTAAGGTTAGTTATCCAACACCAGGATTGACTTTGTATGTTACTGACAATGACTTAACACCTTCTGTTAAGTGAAATGCATTTCATTTTTCCCATTCACTTAGGGGCTCCGGAATTGGAGATGTCAAAACCAGTTTATGCTTTCAGTGGGTCGAGGGGGTGGGGTGGGCAGGTGGGGGGTGTTGAGCATAGACTGCCTAACTGTTCTCTCCGGTATGCCCTTGAGAATACCCCTGCTGATTCAACACAGATGTAATGGGATAAATCCCATTATTCAAAGGAATGTATTTGGGGGGGTAAACTCACGA